TTTCCCACCAGACCATGCTGATGACACGGCCTCGCTGTGCTCCTAAAGTTCTCTGTGCTGTGGGAGGAAAAGCTGGGCTGTTTGCCTGTCTGGAAAGGTGAGTGCTGGGGAAGTTGCAGCCCCTGAGTGGTGTGATGTTCACAGGTGTTTGTTCTTGTGTGGGGTCTGGATTAAGACAGTCATTGAAGGGCTGTGGTTTGCAGGACTTTACTTACTGCTTTCCTTAAAAAAGTAAATAATCTACTTAAGAGCTTTCATGGATAAGGCCAAGCACTGAAGTCAAAAGGCTTTTTGATTTCCTGAGCAGTGTTCAGTGTTATGGGGTTTTGTTTGTGCCAACACAAGGACCTATAAAATCAAATCATTTTAAGTCTGTTGATTGAGAACTTGGTGAGTAGAAGTGGTTAATAAAAGTTTGTGTGCTGCTTCTTTATCCTTTCAGGTCTTTGTTTTGCATAATTTTCCCTGACCTATTATTGTTCCAGACAAACAATACATTTTAACCTAATGCATCACAAATGTGCTTCCTGAAAACTCAGAAATCCTTGGAATTAAAACAAACCTAATCAGAGCAGAGCACAGAGGCAATTCTTAGCAGTGCCACGGTTCTTGGTGACAATGTAACCATGACCATAGTCCTGGCTGCTGAGTGGGTGTCCATAGCTGTGCTTTGTTCTTTCCCTGCTTTTCAGGATGAGCCTCCATCTCAGGGCCTGGAGCCCATCAGTGGGGCTCATCACGTCAGCCAAAGGGAGTGATAGTGAGAACCAGGCTTTCCTCCCCACACTGGTGGTGTTTGGTGCTTATCCCATCGTGTCAACATTTTCAGACACAGTAGGTAAACTGGGTGTGGGTCTGCAGATATTTTCATACTCACATATACCCAGAGAGTGCTTTGATGCTGAACGTGCCCTTATCAGCTCAGGATATGTGTTCTGAGGTAGGGCAGGCTGCCTGAACTGGTTCCACAGCTGAATTCTAGGAGAGTATTTTACTCTCAGATTTTCTTGTCTGGGACAGTTCTGTGCTTGCATAAATATACATACCCTTAAAAACCTGGGGAGATCTATCTGTATGTTCTTTTTGCCTGCGTCAAGAGGTGTTGTCAAAGCTGTTTACAGTGAACTTTCCCAATAACAGGGATCAATAGTAAATAGATACTGAGAGGGGGAATTATTTGGTTTATAGGTTTTAAAAAGTACTTAATAAAAACAACCTGTTTGAGGATTAAAGTTGCCCTCTGATACTCTTCAGCTCTGTTTCTTTCACTTCTTATTCAGTGATTGCAACAATGTTACAAACCAATGTAGTTTGGACTATTTGGATTTTTTTAAAAAAACAAAAATACTTTTTACTGCTATTTACTGTGTTTTAATGCATAGAGAAGTTTGCTCTTCCTTAATTTAGCATGCATATTAGTCTTTCCTAAACAGTTGTTTCAGTTAGTATTTAAGTTTAAACAGTTGCTCTTGATGTACCAAAAAAAGGTCACAGATCAATTAAACAAATAATTCGTGATACAGTTCCACCTTTCATTTGTGCTTGCAGGAAGGCTTGTTTTGCACTTACAATGAGTCTCTGCTTCATAATAACACAATTCCAGTTAGTGCTGGTACTGCTCTGCCCTAGTTGGGCTGTTGCTGCTCTGGTGCCCCACAGTCCCTGCTCTGGGTTCTCAGTCAGCAGCTCTCAGCTCTCCAGTGGCTTCATTTTCTTGTGTATGTTTTTTGAACCGATCATGTTTCCTGTATACTTGGTATTTTAAATCATTTAGGTAATTTGTTAACTAAACTATTTAGGTAGGTTGACTGCTCTTGATACATGACAGGCTAGACCCACCATATTTTAACACTGCGTATAATTCAGAGAAAATGCAAGTAAGCAGTATTTTGAAAGCAGATTTTTCAAATTAGGTTGTTCTGCCTTGACATTTTGTTTAAATTACACAGTGCATATAAAGTATGTATTTATGAAACTACATATTATAATTTCTAAGTGTACATTTGTATGTATATATAGACAATATATTCAACCTCTCTAATTCTCCTTTTCTCTCTGCCATCTCTGTGGTTATTCTGACTGTTTTTTCCCAGTTCACCCCTGTTACTCCTTTGGTTGGTGTTCTTAGCTTACCCCCATCACAGCCAACTTCAGAGGCTGCTGTGGTGTCAGCGCCGTGTTGTCTTCACTCCCGTTATCCACGTTGCCCTTCTGCCTTCTCCATAGTCTGCCTGGTTCGTACTGAAGTTTCATCATTTCAGGTCTCAGACAGGGTGCCATGGCTACTGGCTGTGTTGCTGCCTCTCACTGGACACCCTGGGGCTCTGGGCTTTGAGCTCTTTAGAAAAAAGAAGCAGCTTTTGGTTTTAGCTGATGTTTGAGCACTGGGGGGAACAGCGAACATGGAGCGTGGCACATGAAATCACGTTCAGCTTGGCTTCCTTGCTGCCCGTTTGTACTTGCCAGAGCTTCAGGAAGGGTTGGCTCACACAGCCTTTGTTTCTCCGTTTCAGTGTGGAGATGTATTTTCCCCAGAATGACTCCTGGATCGGGCTGGCACCGCTCAGCATTCCCCGCTATGAATTTGGGATCTGCGTCCTAGACCAGAAGATCTATGTGGTGGGAGGGATTGCCACCCACGTGTGCCAGGGCATCAGCTACCGCAAGCACGAGAGCTCAGTGGAGTGCTGGGACCCTGACACAAACACCTGGACTTCTCTGGAGAGGATGTTTGAGAGCAGGAGCACCCTGGGAGTGGTGGTTCTGGCCGGAGAGCTCTACGCCCTGGGGGGCTACGACGGGCAGTCGTACCTACGGACTGTGGAGAAATACATTCCCAAAGTGAAGGAGTGGCAGCTGGTGGCCCCCATGAACAAAACCAGGAGCTGTTTTGCTGCAGCTGTCTTGGATGGGATGATATATGCCATTGGTGGCTATGGTCCTGCCCACATGAACAGGTGTGTAGCTCCATCTCATCAGCTGGAAATCAGCAAAGCTCCCTGTTAAGCCGGTGTTTGGCAACCAATTAAAAATTATTCTAAAATAGGTTGTAACCCACAGTAGGCCTCATTAATCCATGTTCTGCAGTATCAGTCTGATAATTCAACTGGGGAATCTTTGTTTTAATGTTTCTTTATGTTTCCAAAACAGAGCTGGTTTGTTTAGGTTGTTTTTAAATCCTTAAGAAGAGAATACTTGTGGCAGAGCTGTGTGCATTCTTGTACCCCAAGCCTGCAAAATACTGGGATGGGTGGTTAGCTTGAACATTGAAAACACTGCTTTGAAATGCATGGGATTTCCCACGTGCTTAAGATACACAAAATAAATTTATAACTCAGGTGGGACCTTAAAGTAGTCTTAATGCTAAGAACAAAATTCAGGAGGATGGTTCCTGGTCTGGCTCCTGGGCCTTCTGTTCACAGGCAGGTTTCCTGGTACCAGCATGATCCTTAGTTGTTCTATTCCACTCTACTCTCTATGGAGGGACAGGGGTGTTTATTCCTGCAAAGAAATAATTTCTACTTTCTTCATTAAATGGGGAGAGAAATCAGCCATATGTCCCTCCAGGAAGCAAATTAATAAATTACAAGTCTAAACAGCTGAATAAAGAAAGACAATGAAAAACTTTCTTAGAGGAAGGGAGACATGGTTTAACACCGGTTTAACCATTGCACTAGTGAACTGTACTTGCTTTTTATACTTGGGATGTTTTTATATGGAACAATTTGCAAAGCAAAGGGTTGGTTTCATAGACTGGTTTGGATTAGAAGGGACCTTAAAGCCCATCCAGTCCCAGCCCTCTGCCATTGGCAGGGACACCTCCCACCAGCCCAGGTTGCTCCAAGCCCCATCCAACCTGCCCTTCAACACTGCCAGGGATGGGGCAGCCACAGCTTCCCTGGGCAACCTGGGCCAGGGCCTCACTGCCCTCACAGCAGAGTTTCTTCCAAATAGAAAAGTATAGCTAAGTAGTTTTAATTTGGAAAACTTTAAATGACTGAAATGTAAAGCAACAATAACTTAAGCTGTTGGATATGACTGTTAAAGGATTTTATGATACTTAATGTGACATTAGTCTGATTTCTTGTATTTTCAATTATGGGCAGTAATAACAGTTGAAGTACTTCATAGACAAACAAGCTCTAAAAGTTTTCAGTTGACTGTAGGTTTTCTCCATGTAGGAATTTGACCTGGAATAACAAAGCTGTGCTGTTATCTTGCCTGGTCACTCTTAGCCCCAGACCATCTTTGCCCCACACAGAACCATGGGCTTTAGTGGCTGATTACACAGAGCAAAGTTAGTAGCAGAGGAGAGCAGGTGTAGCAGGAATTCCTGTGGCACCTTTGGGTGCTCACTGCACTGCAGCCTTGTTGCACAGGCCATCACAGAAGGAAGAGAATCAAGCCCTTGCTCTTGCCAGGAGAGGTTCCCAAAAGTTGTATGTTCAATGTGCACACAGGCCTTGGAAAGGGGAGCACAATAACCTTCTTCCAGGCCATTGGAGGCTTATCAGTGGAGCAACAGGAAATGTCTGGATCAGGCTGGTACCTTGACAGAAAAGCTTTTATCAACACTCAAATTCTGCAGTAGCCTCACTCCTTGTGCCACATTCCTCTCCCTCAGTCAGAAAGGAATTGCCAGCAGCTCCCGTAGAGTTACTGGAATCTAATACTGTATTATTTGTCTTTTAAAATGTAATGTACTTTTTATTGAGTAGTTTTGGTTTTATTGATGATTCAGGAGTGTGAGCAGGCAGCCATGCCATCCAGTCACCAGGCTGAAAAGCTCTAGTGTTAAAGCATCTGGCTGGTACCATGGACCTTGTCTCCAACTCTGCAGTGCTTCTGATTTTCTCTTCCTCTCTTTTCTGCCCCCTCCTGCTACTGGAGGGACACTTGGGCAGGGAATGGCCACATGCCAGGAGTGTGTTAATGACTGACCATCTGCACAGCTCCAGTGATTAAAAAAAAAAAGTAATGATGATGATAATAATACATTTATATTTTATCTCAAAGGCCTCTTCTATCCTTGTTGTTTTGATCAGCAGCCTCTTTACTGCTTTTCCTGAGGGATGTGCTCTCCACATTTTGTCCTATTATTTTCAGGCAAGCCTCACAAAAGTTTTTTATTTGATGTGTTACCCAAACAGATCCACTTCAGATCTGTGTTGTGTTCAGTTTTTCATGGGTTGGTTTTGTCATAAATAGCAGCAGTCGTCCTCAAAAGAGCTTTCAGTTCTGAGGCCAGCTTTGAAAAACCTTCCTTTGTTTCAATCCGTCACTTGGAGATCCAGGGTAGTGGCACAAAGACATCAAAGGAGCAGCTGAACCACAGTTGCTGGGTCAGGATTAAATATGTTAATCACAGAATCAAAGAATGGTTTGTGTTGCATGGGATCTGAAAGATCATCTAGTTCCAACCCCCCTGCATGGGCAGGGACACCTCCCAGCAGCCCAGGCTGCTCCAAGCCCCATCCAACCTGCCCTTCAACACTGCCAGGGATGGGGCAGCCACAGCTTCCCTGGGCAGCCTGGGCCAGGCTCTCACCACCCTCACACCAAAGAATTTTTCCTCATGTCTCACCTAAATCTTCCTTCTTCTGGTTTTAATCCATTCCCCCTTGTTCTCTCCCTACAAGCCCTTGTAAAAAGTCCCTCCCCAGTTAAAACTACTTTTTGGCAACACTCTGTGGAGAGGACAGTGGGATGTGGTTGGTGCTTCTGAGCTGGCAGCACTGGCTTTGGGTTCTTGTGCACGACTGCTGGGCAGTACAGAGCAGCTGAGCTGCAGGATTTCCCATCAGCTCCAACACATTCTCCTTGTGTTACGTTATCCCTGGGTGTGGTAATACTGGTTGGCAGGACTAGATGTACCTCTGACAAATGCAGGTGGCTTGAGTGGAATTGGAATGTCACTGAAATCCCAGCCTCACAACTGGTTTGTTTCTGTTTGCAGTGTGGAGCGTTACGATCCCAGTAAAAACTCCTGGGAGGCAGTGGCTTCCATGGCTGACAAACGAATAAACTTTGGTGTTGGTGTCATGCTGGGCTTCATCTTTGTAGTTGGTGGGCACAATGGTGTGTCTCACTTGTCAAGCATTGAGAGATACGATCCTCACCAGAACCAGTGGACAGTGTGTCGGCCCATGAAGGAGCCCAGGACAGGTAGGACCTACAGAACCTGTTCCCTCGGGTGTCCCACCAGAAACAAACTGCTTTGTGACCCGGGGAAGCTGCAGGGAAGTCCTGGTGACTTGTCTGCAGAGCACTGCACTTCCTCTGTGAGCGGAGGTCACTTCATCAGCTCTGTGAAAGGATGAGTTTTTATTTCTCTATCTTTAATTACAGTCCAGTTTATTAGTACTGAGCTGCAACGAAAATAATATGAAGGAGTATTTCAACTCTGCATTTTATTTTTTCATTTATTTTGAGTTTCAGCAATTCTGTGGTTATTGTTCTGTTGTATTTTATGCTGAGACTCAGTAGGGCATCCTCTGTTTTGTCACCCCAGGAAGGGGTGTTGGGACAGAAGAGCATTGCTTTGTCATAACAGAGGGTGGGAGAAGAGTAGAGAAGGGAGAGCGAGACCTAATCAGGAAGAGACTCTTCATTTACACCTGTTTTCACAGAATCACAGAACTGTCAGGGTTGGAAGGGACTCCACACCCTCCCTGGGCAGCCTGTCCCAGGGCTCTGTCACCCTCAAAGTAAAGAAACTTTCTTTCATATTTCAATGGCACTTCCAGCGTTCCAGCTTGTGCCCATAGCCCCTCATTCTGTCACTGGGAACTACTGAAAAGAGTCTGGCTACATCCTCCTTGCACCCAAGGGTTGTGGTTTTGTGGGTTTCATTTCTCATTTTTCTTTAATTGCTCAAGTAATTGTTTCCTACTTTTCTTTATACGCAGCCCAAAGAGAGAACTTTTATGTTCCTATGAGAACTTTTCTGTTCAACCTCCAGGCTGAGGTGGGAGGGTGTTCCAGTTAGGAACACAAATACCACTCATTTCCACACTTGTTAATCATGCCATGTGTTTGTTTCTTTCTTCCCACCAGGAGTTGGTGCAGCTGTAATTGATAACTACCTGTATGTAGTGGGAGGGCACTCGGGGTCATCCTACCTGAACACTGTCCAGAAGTACGACCCCATCTCAGACACCTGGCTGGACTCTGCTGGCATGATGTACTGTCGATGCAATTTTGGTTTGACTGCACTTTGATGGAAGGCAGGACTTCAACAGACCTGATGCAAAGATGGAGCTTAATCTTCTTGGAAATAAACCCTGCTGGTGGAGACCATGAGCTGCATTTCCTGGAGCTGGGAAGTCGGAGGGATGTGGTGAAGTTGGGCTGGAATCAGGAAGGAATTGTTTTCTTCTGGTAATTGGCCTCTGTTACTTTAGGGACATGGGCAGAAGGAACAGAAAGGAACCCCAGCTGGGTTCAGAGGGCATCCAGTTTTGGCAGTGGATTTGAGAAAGCACTGTACATGCCTGGGATATGGTTAGAAACTTACTGTACATCTAACCCTTTCACTTTCTAGAGCTTTTCTCTCTTCTTCCTGCCTACTATGAAACATGAAGTTTACTGTGCTTGGGGTGAGAGAGGTGTGAGTGTGGTGTGTGTCTGGACACGTTGTTGACACTTGTCTGGTTGTGTCTTCATATTAAGAAAATGCCAGTGCTTCATAATTTTTTTTATGAACAGTAACTAAAGGGCTGCCTTGTTTCTGTGTCTCAAGGTTTGTAAATAATCAACGCCATAGTTTGTTGCCTGTACACTCTCCTTTGTTACCTGCTTCCTGGTGGGAGTGCTGGGATGGTAATTAGTAACTACTTAAAGGAATTCACAAGGCAAATTGCCTCTTACCAAAAATTTTGGACCTGATAAAGTGAAATCACATTTTTAACTTTCCCTTTTATTTTCTTTCTGTGGGTAAATGAATGCTAGAGTCAATGACTTAATCTTGCCTGCTGTGTGTTTTCAATTGTAATGCAAGGAAGAACTCCAGCAGCCATGCACCAGGAGATACCACAGCAGCATTCATAGCAGGACTGAAAATAAACACCCCAAAATGCCTCCATCCCACCCTCCTCCCAGTGCACTCGTGCCCGTGTTCTGTACAACTTCCTTTTCAAAAAGAATGTATGATTGCTTTCTCAGAGTGTTCAGATATAAAAATGGTGCTAAATGTAGGACTTAACAATAAGGCTGTTACTGATTTTAGTGCAGTATGCATAAAGCATGGTTGTTTTAGTGGTTTTGGTTCTTACTTGCTTGATACATCTGTGCCTATGGAAACTGTCAAGAATAACACCACTTACTGAATGAGCTGTTTGTTACATGTTTGGGGTTTTTTCAGCAGATCTGCTTTTTTTTTTTCTTTTTGTTCCTGTTCTCACAAATACATAAATAGGGAGTGAAAAGTGAGATCCCACCTCGGGTTCTCTAGGCAGCCTTACCCTTAACACAAGCTGCAAGGAATGACAGGATGAAAAGCCCAGGACAAAGCTGCTCATCCTGAGTGTAATGGGAGTGCTGGAGGGCAGTCCTGAGGCTCCCCAGCATCTCAGGATATACAGCTTTGCTATAGCCCTGAACTTAGTGAAAATTAGGGCAGAGACCTAGAAGGAGATGCTGTGGGTTATCACCATTATTCAAAATAGATGGTGGAGTAAATATGAATTTTAGTTATTGTAGAATGTTTTGGTTTGTCTTCTCATCTTAAGCAGGAGTCGTGGTTGTCTTGAATTTCTGTTTTGCTGTCTGTGTGTGTGTGTGTCACCAGGCCTGGTACTGAAGAATTCTTCTGCCTCCAGAGTTACTTTCCCCTTGTTTTAACATGTTAAATTAAATGTTTGTTTCTCCTTGTCTTTCATGCCCATATAGTATTATTTTTTAAAGTGCAATAATATTTGAACTAGTTGCTTTTAAAGCCATTTCTTTAGAAGTATGTTAAGTGGAGGGTTTTGAGTGTACTTGATTTATTCCAAGTTCCTGCAAAGCTGATTGCAGCCAGGCAGACAGTGGTGTTCCTTGTTCTTCCAGACACTAACCTTCAGATTTGGAAGTAGGAGACAAAGGTGTTTTCACCACAAATCATTATCCAGAGCTAAAAGGTGATCACACAGATTATAAATTCCTGCACGAGTTCTTCAGATTTGGTAGAATTAAGCAGGACTGTAAAAGCAAATAAAACTGACAATTTCAGTGCAGTTTATGTGACCCACTAAGGATTCTAGTTATATAGCAATAATAGTGTGATTTAATTACTGGAGTGGCTCTGACAGGACACAAGCAGCTCCTTGGCTGTGTGGGGAGGGGCAGGGCTGGAGGGAGGTTCCTCAGCCTGGTCCTAAATTGCCCTCTCCTTCAGTTCTGGAGCTTCAGGCCCTGCCTGGGCCATGGGCTGTTGCACTGCTCACTCTGTCCCACAGAGATAACTTTGGTTATTGTGTTTTCCAATATACACCAGAGATAAAGATGCTTAAAACAAAAGCTGATATTAAAAAAAAAACCCACCTAAATTACTTCCTGAAGAGAAGTTTATGCCTTTTATTGTTAGGAGGCTTTCCATGTAGTTGGGCACATATGGTACCTTTTGGAGCCTAACTGCAGCAGGATTCCATGAATGAAGTTGCTCACATACTTGTGCTGATGGGAGCTGCTAGTAAACACTGGTCTCAGTTCCTACAAAGTCTTGCAAGACACAGAAACTGTTTTAATAGAATCCCAGACCAGTTTGGGTTGGAAAAGACCTTCATGATCATCTGTTTCCAACCCCCTGCATGGGCAGGGACACCTCCCACCAGACCAGGTTGCTCATCAAGTTTTGATGTCATCAGAACAAACAATCAGCAGAGGGGATGGTGTTGATGGCTGCTCAATGTTAATATATACATCTTGCATTTATGGAAGTCAGAGCACTGAAAATGGCAAAATGTTTTACTCTACTTCGGCAGGGACAGTGTTAGGTCATCGGGACTGACCCCACACTGTGTCATCTGGTGTTCCTGAATTTAAGATACCAGCAGAAACAGTTTTTTAATGTGCAGGCTTGGTATGGAGAATGGGTAAGACCCCTCATGAGCTAAACTGATGCTGTTAGCTGAACTGGTTAGTGAGAAGTAGGTGGAACGGTGTCCCAACCTGGGGATGGCGTCACTTACAATCATGGCACCTTCATTTCTGCTCTGGGTGCTTGTTGTCCTGCTCACTGAGGTGCTTGGTTGTAGGAAGATCACACACAACAATCAGTCTGAATCTGCATTTAAAGAACAATGCTCTCAGTGTAATGTCTGTCTTACAGTTTAAGAATTAAGGACTTTCAAATAAGATGTCATACAACTATAAATTATCATCCAGTTCTATTTCTTAATCCCTCAAAATTATCTGTAAAGCACTTTAAAATGGGTATGAGTTTGTATGTGTACATACAGTTCCTGAATTACTGCATTTTCTCTTATGTTAATCTGTAAGCTTCCTGACAGTTTTCCCCGACCAGGAATGCTTTTCTTTTTGAAAGTCTGCATGGAATTTCTGGAGGGGCAGGTGTGTCCAGTCCACATTACACACAGTTAGCTGTTCCTGGGAGGTAGCGTCTTGCTTCTGTGAGTTTGCCATCTGTAAGTCCCCATTCACTATATGAAACAATGCAAAATGTCCAAACTTGCCTTAAATTCTTGATATTGAACTGAGACACAAAGAACTGGATGATAATTCCTATTTTTTTGCCTTATGCGCTGTGCTGTATTTTAAACCCAAGGATAACTAATTTTTAGCAGGATTTAATAATTGTACAGAGAATACCAAATTGTACTCGGGCTTGACCGGGGTGCTTTGGTTGGGAGTACAAAATGATCCGTGTAGTTTTGTGTACCTGGAGTGTTTCTATGTGTACACCTTTTTTAGCAGCAATGTTCTGGTTTTGTTACTGTTTACAAAAGTGGCGTTTGAGTTCCATAGGAAAACACCTGTAACCTGCCTTCTTGGTCCTGACTAGTGTCCTCCACGTGTTTGCTCCTGTGATCATGCTCTGTAAGTATTGTTGTAACTATTTCATTGAATGTGAAACAGTTTAGTAAATAAACCTAGGGGAAAAAAGCCTTGTTCTTACACTTTCATTGGGTGGTGAGTATGAATGTGCTGTAGCTTTAGTTTTCTGAGGTGGTAACCTCTTGGTGGGCTGTTCAGAGGGGGTGGTAGCTCACTGCAGGGTGAGCTGAAGGGGAGGTGGAGCAGGAGTTGCTCACCCTTCACAGATCCACACAGAACCATGCTGGTTGGAAAAGACCTTTAAGATCATCCAGTCCAACCATTAACCCAACTCGACCAAGTCCATGTCCCCCAGCACCACATCTACACATCCTTTAAGTGTCTCCAGGGATGGTGATTCAGCCACTGCCCTGGGCAGGCTGGTCCAGTGTTTGATAACCCTTTCAGTGAAGAAGTTTCTTCTAGTATCCAATCCTTCTTTGGAGGGTTGTGCTGGCTGGAAGACCCGGACCCCAATAACCACATCACTGGGTCTTTACCCCATTGGTGGTAGAAGCTCCTGTGGAAGAGGGTTTAGAACCTCTTGCTGTTCCCCATCTGTCTGTGTAGCTGTAACTACCATCTCCCAGATGAGTCAGTCAGCAGGGAAGGAGCACACAGCCCCTGTTCCTGCTTTCCCTGGCAGGAGAGCCTGCTCAGGAAGGCTCCCACACAAATTTTTCCCTCCTGGTGAAGACCCAGCATCCCAGAGTGACTGTTCAGGAACACGGGCTGTGCAGGGCCAGAGGGTCTGCAGCAGGAGACCTTCAGTTTGCTGTTGGACAGGCCTTCCCAGCTGTGTTCCAGCTGGTGCTTTCACCTGGGCTGATGGGCACCCTTCTCTCTCCCTCAGTGAAACAGAGATCTAAGGTTTGCCTGTTGGGCTCTGAAATTCTTTTGTTGCTGGCTTCATCTCAAAAACAAGCAGAAAGGGCTATTTTTTTTTTACCTAGTTGAGAGCAGGGACCTCACTCTCCTGCCCAAGGCCTGAGCTCAGCTCCTGGTTGCTGCCCCAGGAGGTGCCCTGCACCACTGGTACCCCAGGTGCTCAAGGATACTGTCCAGAAAACACAGGGAATCGTGCCAGCCGTGAACTCCAGCTCAGGAACACTGACTTCTATAGTCTGAGTCATGCTCAGCTGGCACAGAAGGAAAATACTCAAGTGATTTGGTTTTTTTTTAGGGGATAAAAAAACAAACAAACAAACAAAAAACCCTTAAAAATGTAACTACATTAATAAAAGACTTTCAGGTTATACTTGTCAAGGGCTTAGTTTCAGCTCTCCCTAAGTTTAAAGGTTGTTGCTGCACCAATTGGGTACTAGAAAACACATTTGACAGGGCAGGTGAGGATTTTTTTCCAGTTTATTTTAGCATCAAGTTACTCATTTTAAAACCCGTAAGATTGTGTCAGAAAACATGAAAATACCTTGCATGGCATTTGTAATAATGGCAACTGTTTCTAGAAGTCACCCAGTTTGGGAAAGTTCAGATTTAAAAAAATTAAAGGTGTATTTGAAAAGTATCTGTGTCTTGCCCATGTCCTACCTGCTTGGAAATAATAATTAAAAAAACCCACACTATGTTTAACCTTCTAAGTTACAAGTCCAGGTTTCTCCAGCTGCTTCCTCTCCAGAGCTGCTGTGCTCTGGGGTGAAGATGCTTCACAGCAGTTGGCTGGGGGGGAAAGTGCTTCAGATTCAAAACTTAGTTTTCCAGAAGAGGCAGAAGAGCCTGG